TCCGGACCTACATGAACTACTGATTTTGGGGATGCTAACTGTGCTGGTGTTTCTCAGGTCGTTTCTGCTGCCTTGGGGCTGAAGTCTCTGAGGTGATCTCCTCCATAGACAGTGCTATCTGTAAAAGCATACAAGGTTCATAGAATCATAGGCCATAGAATCAATCAGGTTGGAAAAGTCCCTTGAGATCATCAAGTTCAACTGCTCCCCCAGCACCTTCAAGACCACCACTAACCCATGGCACTGAGGCCTCGAGTCGGCGGTGTGTGACTGTGACTGCAGCCCTACCCTGGGCAGCCTGTTCCAATGGCTGAGCACCCTCTGGGGAAGGAATTGTTCCTCTTCTCCATCTAAACCTGCCCTGGTGCAGCTTGAGGCCCTTAACTCTTGTCCCATTCCTTGTTCCCTGGGAGCAGAGCCCAACCCCTTCCTGGCTCCATCCTCCTGTCAGGCAGTTGTCGGGAGAGATAAAGTCCTCCTTGTGCCTTCCCTTCCCTGAGGGCTGGAGCAGCTCTGCTCTGGAGCCAGGATGAAAGAACTGGGCTGGGTCAGCCTGGACAAGAGAAGGCTCCTTAAGGAGAGACCTTAGGGCAGCTCCAGTGCCTAAAGGGGCTGCAGGAAACCTGGAGAGGGGCTTTGGACAAGGGCCTACAGGGACAGGCCAAGGGGAATGGCTTGAACCTGCCCTAGGGGAGACTGAGATGAGCTCTTAGGAACAAGCTCTTCCCTGGGAGGGTGCTGAGGCGCTGGCACAGGGTATCCAGAGAGCTGTGGCTGCCCCATCCCTGGCAGTGTTCAAGGCCAGGTTGGACACGGGCTTGGAGCAAGCTGCTCTAGTGGAAGGTGTCCCTGCCCGTGGTAGGGGCCTGGAACTGGATGAGCTTGAAGGTCCCTTCCAACTCAAACCAGTCCGGGATTCTACAAACTGATTACAGGAAATTGAACACTAACACCCCACCACTGACAGCTGCCATCCTGAGCACAACCCCCATTGTGACAGCATTAAAGGCTCTGACATCACTCGGCTGTTCTCTGCAGCAGGATCTAACTTCACAGCAACACGTGCCACTGTTCCACAGCTCCCAATGTGGTTGTCACGGGCAGTGCACATGGGCAACAGCAGCTTTCTTCTGGGCCTCAGAATCCTGATCCTGGCTGCTGGGGCCATGCTGCTTGCCATCAGCCGTCGCCAATGGGATCACTTGTGGCCATGGGGCCCACTTGGTTCCAGCACTGGTGGTGCCTGTCCCCAGAAAGGTGACTGTGCCACAATGATGTTCCCACAGGGTGATGGCCAGGGCAAGCAACAGCGCAGATGGAGGCAGCAATTTCGGGCAGCAAAGCCATGTAAGTCCCCGGCAGGTCCCCCAGGGGAGCCCAGCCCCATGGGGAGCAGGCTGGGTGTACGGTCCCAGGTCGGTTGCGGCCCCCCGACACTCAAGAACCCCTCCCTGCCTTGCAGGTAACGCTGTGTCCCCCCTGTGCGGGCCCTGGCGCTGCAGGCCCGGCTGCACCCACTGCATCAAGGCTGTGCAGGAGCTGCAGGAGCTGGTGCTGTCAGCGTGGGCTGGGAGAGGAGCTGCAGCCGCTCTGGATGCTGGCACGTGGCAGGCGCTATGGCAGGACCTGGAGGAGCTGGTGGAGCAGGGAGAGCTGAGCTGCTGCGGCTCCCCCAGTTACCCCGAGAGCATCAGTTCCAGCGAGAGCCTCAGTCCCCCCGAGAGCCTGACAGCAACGCTCCTGACTGAAGATGAAGGAGCCCCTATGGAGGTGAGGTCTGTTTGCTCCTTCGACCACACGTGTGCTGGCAGAGTCTCTTCAGCCCTGAAGATGCACGTGGCTCAGAAAGCCCTGGAGATACGGCTGGGGGCCCTGCCCGTGCCGGTGCAGCAATCCCTGGAGCAAGCAGCACAGCAGCAGGGCTGCCTCCCTGTCCTGCCCAAGCTCATCCTGCCGGGACAGAGCCAGCCCTGGCTGCGGCACGTTCTGTGCCCCTCAATGCAGGCCAAGGCAAACGCTATTGTGGATACCATGGAAGAGAAGGAAGTGCAGAGGCTATGGGGGGATCCAAACCCCACCGAGGAGTCCCTGGCACCGCAGATGCTGTGCCCTCCACCGCTGCTTGGTCCCTTAGACCCAAAGCTGCCAAAGGAGAGCAGAGCTGGGGAGCCCAGGGCCCCGGGCAATGCCAGTGCACTGGGACAGCACAAAGCAGGACAGCAGGAGCCACAGAGCCCCCGTGGATCTGAGGAGAAACCAGCCATCCAAGCCCCAGAGGAGGATACACTGAGGAAGAGCCTCCTTCACCTGGGTAGGGGCTTGTCACCGTGGGACAAGGAGTGCCTGAGGCCTTTTGGTTTAGGCGCACCCCCCCCTGCCCGTCCCAGCCTGGATAATGGAGCAGCAGGACCAGAAGCGGGACCAGCTTCCATGCTACTGAAGAAAGATGCTGCCTCTCAGATCAACATCCCCACACAAGGCAGGGACCATGCCCACAATGAGGACAGGAGCTGGTCCTGTGCCACAGCGCCTATCAGCAAGGCAAGGCTGGAGCTGAACCAGAAGGTCCACAGCAAGCTCTGGACCCACACAGCAAGAAAATGCCTGGAGATAAAACTCCAAACTCTCCCCAAGGCAGTGCAGAGGTCCATGGGCATGTCGCAATGCTCACTGCCCAGACGGAGGCAGGCTGGGGCTGGGCAGCTGCAGCCCCGCAAGAGCTCTGCCATTATGGCAAAAACAAAGCAGCTCAGGCAGAAGGAATGGGTCCTGCAGCAGCAGGTTCAGGCATCCCTCACCTGCACTCTGGTCCCCATGACACCGTGCTCCTGCCTGTATTGTGTCTCCTCCTACGGCCCCGTTCCAGGGACGGAGAGCAGCCAGGCATTCCTGGAGGCCCGGACCCTGCCCAGCACATCCTGCAGCTCTGGGAAGGAGATGGCCACAGACACCAAGGATGCGCCAGGGCCACCCTGTGGGATGGTGAAGGACTCGCCAGGGCCAGCATCCACCCTTTTTAACACTGTGACGCTGCTGATACCCTACCCATCAACACACGTTTTGTAACACAATTAAGCAGGAATAACCAATTAAGCTATGAGAAGGGAAATGAAGGCTTGTGGTATAAAGGCAGAAACAGATTATGGGAAAACATACACAAGTAGTAAAGTCTTTAAGGTAAAACACAGGAGGAGAAGCATGAAAGGTGTCTGAGGAGAGCAGAACAAGCAGGAAGGATTTGTGATGAAACATGAACAAGCCTGGTCCTAAAATGCAATAAATTAGGAGGACATGAGATTCCTCTCAGTATAGAGGGTATGGCGAAGCTGGCTGCTAAATAAGCGCAGTCTTTTCCACGGTACAAAATGCTTTCATTTCCAAGTTTAATACATACGCTCACACCCGTATGTAGGAGTTTTCTAAATTGAACTTTTCTTTAGAGCATCTTGGTTGTTGTCTCAATAAGCATAAGCTATAAAAATAGAACTTTCTTCTGCATTTGGGATAGAGGAGTTGGGTTGAGAAATTTGGGGTTTTTCAGCCTGGAGAAGGGAAGCCTCGGGGAAGAACTTAGAGCAGAGGAGAAAGAGATCCTTCTGTGATGGGAGCTGTCTGACTTTGCCTTCTGTTTTGTGATACTGGGAATCACCTTGTAAGTTGACTGTTTTTTTCCCAGCAATTACCAAATGAATCTGGGAAGTAGATCAGATGCAGGTGTTCCTAACATGTCACCTACATTTAGTCAGGCAGTTCCCATCACTTGTGTTGCATCAGAAACACACTGTCTTTTTGCTTCAAAGAAAATCACTGTGACAACACTCTTCTCCCTACTGTCCTCCTTAGAGCATCCTTCACCTCTTTGTTCCTGAAGCTATAAATGAGGGGGTTCAGCATGGGAAAAACAAGGGTATAAAATGCAGAGATCACTTTGTCTGTGTTCATCGAGTGGCTGGAGCTGGGCTGTAAGTACGTGAAGAGGAGGGAGCCATAGAATAACCCAACAGCCATCAGGTGGGAGGTGCAGGTGTAGAAGGCTTTGTGCCTCTTGTCTGCCACATGGATCCAGAGGATGGTGCTGAGGATGCAGGTGTAGGAGGCAGCAATGGCCAGGAAGGTGCTGGTTTGTATAAAGCCACAGAGAGTGAAGAACCTCGTTGATGTGTGTGTTGGAGCAGGAGAGCTCCAGCAGCGGGGGAATATCACAGAAGAAATGGTTGATGACATTGGAGCCGCAGAATGACAATGTGAAGGTGAAAGATGTGTGCACCAGCGAAGTCAGACCCCCGCTGAGATAAACCCCAGCTACCAGGGTGGTGCAGACCCTGCGAGACATGACAACAGTGTAGACAAGAGGATGACATACAGCCACATAGCGGTCATAGGCCATCGCAGCCAAAAGGAGGCACTCGGCGTCAGCAAAGGCAGCGAAGGAAAACATCTGTGTTGCGCAGCCAGTGAAAGAAATGGTCTTCTGCTGTGCTAACAGACTCACCAGCATCTTGGGAGCAATGGCAGATGAACAGATAAGGTCTAAGAAAGACAAATTGCTTAGGAAATAGTACATGGGAGTATGAAGGCAGGCATTGAGCTGGAGAAGCACGATGAGGCCAGCATTCCCCACCGAAGTGGTGATGTAGATGAGTAGGAAGAGCCCAAACAAAGGTATCTCCACCTCCAGACGGTCGGTGAAACCCAAGAGAATGAACTCTGTCAGCGTGGTGCAGTTCTCTTCAGGCATCTCATGACCCTGTGTTTGGTTCGTCAGGGGATCAATCCTAGTGGGTAGAGCAATGCACAAACACATTGTATCTTTCAGAAGACAGAAAAGTAGGCACCTCGCCAAGTATCAGAGGGGGAAACCAATCACTTAGATAATGCCCATTGAAAAGAAACTTTAGGAGGACATTCAAAGTGAGCTTTACATTAAAAGAAAGCCATGAGTGTTGTTTTTAAGCATCTGAGCACAAATACTGTTAGATTTTCCAAGCATTTTCCCCCACTTTATTTTTCACGTAAAACCAACTGAATTTGATTCAGTCCTCTCTCAAATTAATTTCGGGTCTTAATTTTACCTTTCCAGAAGTGCATCATGTAACTTAACTTTGCCAAAGTTAGCATCTGCTGATGCCAGTATAAGTTCGAGGCAGGGCAGATCTCTCTTGCTCACCTTTACATTTCCGGGAAATATAAGGATTGCAGAAGGACATTTGATAACGAAACCGCTAGCAGGTCAGTTAAATAGTCCTGTAAATATCAATGCTAAATGGATAAAAGCACAGCCAGACCAGAAATGTCTATGTTCCTTAACAATATATAATAATCTAAGCTGACTCATTCAGGATAGGATATTAATTGGTTACAGCAGAGCCTGGGGGTTCAGAAAGAGGGTTGCACTGACCTCACCTGTATTTGGCTTTGTAAAGGTTGGTCTAAGTGCATCATCTTCAGTTCCATCTATAATCACTGCAGAGGGGTGGGTGGGATGCATCGTATCCTGGCTATGCGCTCATCTGTTGATAAGAAAGGACGCCTGCATGACCAGTATCAATTCACTGCCAAAAGTTTAGATGGTTAGTGAGATGAATCCCATTTTAGACTGTTTTCTTTGATCTTTTTTCAAGGTCCTTCATTCTTGATGCATCCTAGAATCTGAATCACTTTGTGGATGTGACCGTTTACTCCAGATGACGTCTGGGGTGACTCTGGTACCGTGATTCCTAGACTAAGATGACAAGCTCTGCCAAAATTCAATTGTGTTTTAGTTTTAGTTGAGACCAGTTAAACAGTGACCTTGTAACATTACCACTTATTTTAACATTATCACCGGTAATTTGAGAGATTTCTAGTGAAAGTAAGAAAAAGAACCTTTCTGCCCCAAAAAATACTCCATAGTTAAGCACATGTAGCTGTTTCCTCCTAGTTTCAGCTGTGGTTCATGTTCGGAAATCCAGGCAGAGAAAGCCTAGAAGCTGCTGAGTGGTCTTTGATGAGGACCTGCAAGAGGTATCAGATCAAAATTTAGGTGTAAAAATCAAAGATAAACCAAATTCCCCCCTTATTAAAGATATATACATATTTATTGTTTTCTTTTGTTATCTCATGGTGCTGCAAAGCTTTTCTGAATCAGAAATACATCCAAAGCAACTGACTTGGAACAATTCCTACACAACACCCTGAATGCAAGGAAATTTTATTCATTAGGAAACTTACCTACTAGGGAAATATTTGGTTTATATTCCTGGATGAAGGAAATGTTTCTTTTGAGGAATGTCACGGATTTTATATCTTCCTTTTGGACACGGGAGACCGTAATGTTCTCTAGGGAAGAGTAGAGCAAACAATTAAAGTGCTGCTGGTGTTTGTCTCAGTGTGGAAATGTTCCAGTGAAACGATGTGCTGTAGAGGTGTTGTACACACTCTTGAAATGCTTCTAGTATTTCTTTTGACTGGAGTCCCACACAGAGTGGGGGACAGTCTTAAGCTTCAAAACAGCATTGAAATGAGAATGGCCATCTTGGCAAATGGAGTCCCAGACCGTGAGCTGGAGTCAAGTCACTGTGACCTTGAAGCAACAGCTTTCAGGGAAAAAGACTTTCAAATGCACCTCAAAATGATTGTGACAATTTAGAAAATGCAAATCCAGAGGCCATCAGAACTTCTGGTAACAGGATTGTGTTCATATCAAATTATGAACAATATCAACAATATCATATCAACAATTATATCAATAATGTAGGGACCTTAGCTATCATGCTAGCTAAGGTCCCTACATTATACAGAAATTACACACCGGGGGAAGATTTAGAGCAATTTAAGTTGTTACTTTACTACTTACATTAAGCAGTAGTTAATCTTATTCATTAATACAAATTTCGTTTAGCCACGCCCCCCCCTGCCCGTCCCAGCCTGGATAATGGAGCAGCAGGACCAGAAGCAGGACCAAAAGCAGGACCAGCTTCCATGCTACTGAAGAAAGATGCTGCCTGTCAGATCAACATCCCCACACAAGGCAGGGGCCATGCCCACAATGAGGACAGGAGCTGGTCCTGTGCCACAGCGCCTATCAGCAACGCAAGGCTGGAGCTGAACCAGAAGGTCCACAGCAAGCTCTGGACCCACACAGCAAGAAAATGCATAGAGATAAAACTCCAAATTCTCCCCAAGGCAGTGCAGAGGTCCATGGGCATGTCGCAATGCTCACTGCCCAGACGGAGGCAGGCTGGGGCTGGGCAGCTGCAGCCCCGCAAGAGCTCTGCCATTATGGCAAAAACAAAGCAGCTCAGGCAGAAGGAATGGGTCCTGCAGCAGCAGGTTCAGGCATCCCTCACCTGCACTCTGGTCCCCATGACACCGTGCTCCTGCCTGTATTGTGTCTCCTCCTACGGCCCCGTTCCAGGGACGGAGAGCAGCCAGGCATTCCTGGAGGCCAGGACCCTGCCCAGCACATCCTGCAGCTCTGGGAAGGAGATGGCCACAGACACCAAGGATGCGCCAGGGATACCCTGTGGGATGGTGAAGGACTCGCCAGGGCCAGCATCCACCCTTGGATCCCTAAGCCTTGTCCCAGCATTTTCTGCTATGGACACCAAGCCAGAGGGAGCACAGGGAGCACACATGTGTTCAACCCATGAAGGCTTCATGGCACAAGCACAAGGAGCCCTACAGAGCCATTGTGGCTGCTGCAGGAAACAAGCTCGACATGCTGATGGCAGCTTCCCAGGTGGGACAGCCCCTCTGGAGAGCACCACGAGCAACACCAGCAGGGAAGGGAACACCGCATCCAATTGTTGGGGGAGTGAACCAAGCCAGGACAGGCAGAAATGGTGGTCATCGAGGAGGCAGAGCCTTGGCAGCGCCGAGAGCTCCCTAAGCTGTGGGACATGGTCCCAGGGCACCTCCTGGAGCACAGAGAGGCAAAGGAGATGGAGTCCTGATGGCCTCTCACAGGGAAGCCCACCTGAGATGGCGCCAAGCTCCAACTCCTGCTGCCCAGAGGGGATCCCCAGCCAGCACAGCCCATCCTCGCAGCAGCACCTTGAAAAGAAAGCAAGAACAAGTCCCTGTGACATTTAAGGCATACAGCCTGTCTGGGTTCAGCAGTAGCATTTTTTTCTCCTTAGTAGCTGGTGCAGCGCTGTGTTTTTGACAGGACACCTGACACAAACGAGCCAAAGAGGTATTCCATACCACAGCACGTCATGCCCAGGATGTAACTGAAAGGGCTAGTTCACTGCGGGGTTGGACCAGGTATCAGTCGGTGCTTGGTCAGGCGGGGTGTGGCTAGTTATTGGTTGGCGGGTGGTGAGGTGTTGTATTCTCTTCCTTTGTTATTTCCTTTATCATTATTATTATTGGTGGTAGCGATTTGTGTTGTACTTTAGTTACTAAACTGTTCTTATCTCAACCCTGGGAGTTACGTTCTTTCAATTCTCCTTCCCACCCCTCCAGGAGCCAGGGCGAACAAGAACGGGAGTGTTTGATTTATGGCTGACTGGGTTTAAACCACGACAAGCCAAAGGAGACAGAGCATCTTTAAAGCCAAAATCTTGTCTTTCCCTTTTAATTTTGTGGTCCAAACTGTTCTGCTGTAAGAAATACCCTTCAACTTTGTCTCTTGTCCCTTCTCCCTGTCAAATAACTATCACCAGAAGCACCAGAGGAAGGTGTCAGGAAAACTAGAGCAGGCATATGTAAAGATAGAGCATGGTATCCATAACGAGACTAAATAAGAGGCCTTGTCTAGCAGTAGGAGAAGGCAAAAGTTACAGGATGACCCACTGCAAGCCTCTCAGCAGGCCTGTACTCCAACATCAGCGAAGTCATTAAACCAATTGCCATCACAAATTAAACGTTTTCCCTTCCCAAAACAAGGAATTCCTCTGGGGGGAAGGCTTCTGGGCATCCTAAAGAAGCCTCTAATGATCTTGAAACCTTCTTAGAAAGCTCAAAGTAAACCTACCTCATTCTTCCTAACAAGCCCCTGGGGACAACTTCATAGACATTAAGGAGAAGGAAACTTTCCTCTTTCTTAAAGGCAAGAGCGCTTCTAAAGCACTTCGGTTTGGCACAACTCCTCCACACCCTGAAGCTGGTGGGTGGAGAGTTTATGGATTGGCAGACTCCTTTCCAGTCCTCCTCCTGGTCGGTACAGTAGTGACCCCTGGAGTTTGAAGGAAAGAGCAGCCACCCCTGGCAAACAACAACTGATTGGCAGAAGTCACTTGGCATCTTAACAGCAAGTTCTTTGGACATCACAAGGGGTCCATAACCAGCCACAGCTGTGGCAGGTGATGCGCTAGATTCAGGGTTTATCAGTCAGAAGCAAAAGGTGATGTGGCTGAAGACAAAATACAATGTACATACATTTCCCTGTCTAGAAATAAAACTACCTACAGCTCAGGTCCAAGCTGCATCCAGGAGACAGATGCAGCCAGACACACTCCTACAATGAGGGGTCCTAGTCTATGGCAGAGGAGGAGTATGATGTGCTGAGGGAAGAAAACACTGGGTGAGGCTGATCAGGACTTATTGTTGCCATCACGGTCCTGACCTACATGAACTACTGATTTTGGGGATGCTAACTGTGCTGGTGTTTCTCAGGTCGTTTCTGCTGCCTTGGGGCTGAAGTCTCTGAGGTGATCTCCTCCATAGACAGTGCTATCTGTAAAAGCATACAAGGTTCATAGAATCATAGGCCATAGAATCAATCAGGTTGGAAAAGTCCCTTGAGATCATCAAGTTCAACTGCTCCCCCAGCACCTTCAAGACCACCACTAACCCATGGCACTGAGACCTTGAGTCCGCGGTGTGTGACTGTGACTGCAGGGCTACCCTGGGCAGCCTGTTCCAATGGCTGAGCACCCTCTGGGGAAGGAATTGTTCCTCTTCTCCATCTAAACCTGCCCTGGTTCAGCTTGAGGCCCTTAACTCTTGTCCCATTCCTTGTTCCCTGGGAGCAGAGCCCAGCCCCTTCCTGGCTCCATCCTCCTGTCAGGCAGTTGTCGGGAGAGATAAAGTCCTCCTTGTGCCTTCGCTTCCCTGACGGCTGGAGCAGCTCTGCTCTGGAGCCAGGATGAAAGAACTGGGCTGGGTCAGCCTGGACAAGAGAAGGCTCCTTAAGGAGAGACCTTAGGGCAGCTCCAGTGCCTAAAGGGGCTGCAGGAAACCTGGAGAGGGGCTTTGGACAAGGGCCTACAGGGACAGGCCAAGGGGAATGGCTTGAACCTGCCCTAGGGGAGACTGAGATGAGCTCTTAGGAACAAGCTCTTCCCTGGGAGGGTGCTGAGGCGCTGGCACAGGGTATCCAGAGAGCTGTGGCTGCCCCATCCCTGGCAGTGTTCAAGGCCAGGTTGGACACGGGCTTGGAGCAAGCTGCTCTGGTGGAAGGTGTCCCTGCCCGTGGTAGGGGCCTGGAACTGGATGAGCTTGAAGGTCCCTTCCAACTCAAACCAGTCCGGGATTCTACAAACTGATTACAGGAAATTGAACACTAACACCCCACCACTGACAGCTGCCATCCTGAGCACAACCCCCATTGTGACAGCATTAAAGGCTCTGACATCACTCGGCTGTTCTCTGCAGCAGGATCTAACTTCACAGCAACACGTGCCACTGTTCCACAGCTCCCAATGTGGTTGTCACGGGCAGTGCACATGGGCAACAGCAGCTTTCTTCTGGGCCTCAGAATCCTGATCCTGGCTGCTGGGGCCATCCTGCTTGCCATCAGCCGTCGCCAATGGGATCACTTGTGGCCATGGGGCCCACTTGGTTCCAGCACTGGTGGTGCCTGTCCCCAGAAAGGTGACTGTGCCACAATGATGTTCCCACAGGGTGATGGCCAGGGCAAGCAACAGCGCAGATGGAGGCGGCGATTTTGGGCAGCAAAGCCATGTAAGTCCCCGGCAGGTCCCCCAGGGGAGCCCAGCCCCATGGGGAGCAGGCTGGGTGTACGGTCCCAGGTCAGTTGCGGCCCCCCGACACTCAAGAACCCCTCCCTGCCTTGCAGGTAACGCTGTGTCCCCCCTGTGCGGGCCCTGGCGCTGCAGGCCCGGCTGCACCCACTGCATCAAGGCTGTGCAGGAGCTGCAGGAGCTGGTGCTGTCAGCGTGGGCTGGGAGAGGAGCTGCAGCCGCTCTGGATGCTGGCACGTGGCAGGCGCTATGGCAGGACCTGGAGGAGCTGGTGGAGCAGGGAGAGCTGAGCTGCTGCGGCTCCCCCAGTTACCCCGAGAGCATCAGTCCCTCCAAGAACCTGACAGCAACGCTCCTGACTCGAGATGGAGGAGTTCCTATGGAGGTGAGGTCTGTTTACTCCCTCGACCACACGTGTGCTGGCAGAGTCTCTTCAGCCCTGAAGATGCACGTGGCTCAGAAAGTCCTGGAGATACGGCTGGGGGCCCTGCCCGTGCCGGTGCCGGTGCAGGAGTCCCAGGAGCAAGCAGCACGGCAGCAGGGCTGCTTCCATGTCCTGGCATTGTTCAAGGCCAGGCTGGACAGAGCCTTGGGTGGCATGGTCTAGTGTGAGGTGTCGCTGCCATGGCAGGGGGCTGGAACTGGATGATGTTAAGGTCCTTTCCAACCCAAAACATTCTATGATTCTACATATGTCCAGAGGCAGGCACGTAAGGTCCTACAGTTTTATTGCTTCTGAACTTGAGACATTCCTCCCAGTAGTCCCCAATAACATCTAAATGGAATGAGGATAGCTTTGTATGACATGAAATTTGTGTTGGCACAATAGCAGACCTCAAAGGCTCTGGAGGTCAGAGAAGTCCTCAAAATGCATGAAAACTCATCCTAACTACTTTTAGGCATCTAAAAGTTAGCTGGGTTCTTTTAGCTATCTTTTTAGCTATCATTGGCAAGAAATGGACAACTCCAAAGGATGGTTCATCCCATTGTAAAATAAGTTTAAGGAAAATGGCATGTTTTGCTTTCTGCAGGTCTCTCCCTCCTTACACTGACTACAGAAGAAGCCCCAACGGTTAGATTTGTCTTACCTGGTTGAATTTTATGCTACTGAAATTACAACAAACAGATTCTATCTTCCTATTGCCATAGCCTGTTCCCCAGCACTTACACAGAACACAGGCAGAAGCTCTGGGCTAAAGAGTTCAGAGAGGACATCCCTGAGGCAAGACACAAGATCTTGAGCAAAACAATCACATGGGAGGCAAGCAAAACACCACGGCAGAACTGATCTTTAACTTTCCTATTTCAAACTGTCGTTGATGAGATGGGAAAGCTCCACAGAGGCTTGCAGTAGCCAGTGATGGATATGCTTAGACCTTCCAAATATCTCTGGCGAGAGGCTAAACCATGACACATGAAAGGGATGAAATGGATGCTCTGCTTTGGCGGAAAATGATGTGGGAAAGCCAGTCCAGAATAGGGGAAATTATCATGTTTGGTTTGTTATTCACGCCTCTGCTCTATCATTTGATATTGGTAATATGGGGTTCATCAGTCAACGTAAAACAATTAAAAGTTACTCCTCTAAGCTTAAACTTCTACTGCTCTAGTAATCAATGTAGAGAAATAATCATTCAAATTCCAGGAAGTATCCAGAGTGCAAACATCTATATATAGGCTGTGGACACTGCTTACCTGAGCTTAGGAGAGGACTTTGTGTCTCTCTTCTGCTCTGGCTGTGCTTTCAGGGACAAGTCATCTCTTAATCAGCCGTCTAGTATTAGTCTCAGAGGACCACAGACTGTGAATCAGTAAAAATACAACTTAATGGTCCAATAGGGAAGACTGGCAGTGATGTGAACTACCTCTAGATTGAATAAGGAGACTGTGGACTGGAATTCGGATTGCATGTCTATTGTTTTATGAGGACCAGCAAAACCTAAAACAATAATTCCCCTCCCTTTATGTCTGCTCCTTGTAGCTCTCATATAAAGGCTGATTGTTTCACAAGGTCAGCAATCCTCAGCATGTAATCCTCGCCATGTTAAACAGACAGAGAGGGGAGATGAGCTCTTATGCAGAAGCTCTTCCTTGTGAGGGTGCTGAGGCGCTGGCACAGGGTTCCCAGAGAAGCTGTGGCTGCCCCATCCCTGGCAGTGTTCAAGGCCAGGTTGGAACTGGATGAGCTTGAAGGTCGCTTCCAACTCAAACCAGTCCGGGATTCTACAAACTGCTTACAGGAAATTGAACACTAATACCCCACCCCTGACAACTGCCATCCTGAGCACAACCTCAATTGTGACAGCATTACCGGCTGCTACGCACACCTGGATGGCTATGCTGTATGTTAGGGATATGTTTTTTTATGGTTCTTCTAAGAGAAGAAGGCAAAACTGAGGTGTCTCAAGGGAGTCACACACAAGGAGACACTGAGCACAAGGACGGCCGTGCTCTTTGACCCATGATTTCTTTTCGGTTTCAAGACCCATATCTGCACAAGGATATTTAGGGCTCATGAAGCAGCAGCAGCAGGATGCCCACGGTGCTGGCTTAATGTGGCCTGTAACATCACTTGGCTGTTCTCTGCAGCAGGGTCTAACTTCACAGCAACACGTGCCACTGTTCCACAGCTCCCAATGTGGTTGTCACGGGCAGGGCACATGGGCAACAGCAGCTTTCTTCTGGGCCTCAGCATCCTGATCCTGGCTGCTGGGGCCATGCTGCTTGCCATCAGCCGTCGCCAATGGGATCACTTGTGGCCATGGGGCCCACTTGGTTCCAGCACTGGTGGTGCCTGTCCCCAGAAAGGTGACTGTGCCACAATGATGTTCCCACAGGGTGATGGCCAGGGCAAGCAACAGCGCAGATGGAGGCGGCGATTTCGGGCAGCAAAGCCATGTAAGTCCCCGGCAGGTCCCCCAGGGGAGCCCAGCCCCATGTGGAGCAGGCTGGGTGTACGGTCCCAGGTTGGTTCCGTCCCCCCGACACTCAAGAACCCCTCCCTGCCTTGCAGGTAACGCTGTGTCCCCCCTGTGCGGGCCCTGGAGCTGCAGGCCCGGCTGCACCCACTGCATCAAGGCTGCGCAGGAGCTGCAGGAGCTGGTGCTGTCAGCATGGGCTGGGAGAGGAGCTGCAGCCGCTCTGGATGCTGGCACGTGGCAGGCGCTATGGCAGGACCTGGAGGAGCTGGTGGAGCAGGGAGAGCTGAGCTGCTGCGGCTCCCCCAGTTACCCCGAGAGCATCAGTCCCTCCAAGAACCTGACAGCAACGCTCCTGACTCGAGATGGAGGAGTTCCTATGGAGGTGAGGTCTGTTTACTCCCTCGACCACACGTGTGCTGGCAGAGTCTCTTCAGCCCTGAAGATGCACGTGGCTCAGAAAGTCCTGGAGATACAGCTGGGGGCCCTGCCCGTGCCGGTGCCGGTGCAGGAGTCCCAGGAGCAAGCAGCACGGCAGCAGGGCTGCTTCCATGTCCTGGCATTGTTCAAGGCCAGGCTGGACAGAGCCTTGGGTGGCATGGTCTAGTGTGAGGTGTCGCTGCCATGGCAGGGGGCTGGAACTGGATGATGTTAAGGTCCTTTCCAACCCAAAACATTCTATGATTCTACATATGTCCAGAGGCAGGCACGTAAGGTCCTACAGTTTTATTGCTTCTGAACTTGAGACATTCCTCCCAGTAGTCCCCAATAACATCTAAATGGAATGAGGATAGCTTTGTATGACATGAAATTTGTGTTGGCACAATAGCAGACCTCAAAGGCTCTGGAGGTCAGAGAAGTCCTCAAAATGCATGAAAACTCATCCTAACTACTTTTAGGCATCTAAAAGTTAGCTGGGTTCTTTTAGCTATCTTTTTAGCTATCATTGGCAAGAAATGGACAACTCCAAAGGATGGTTCATCCCATTGTAAAATAAGTTTAAGGAAAATGGCATGTTTTGCTTTCTGCAGGTCTCTCCCTCCTTACACTGACTACAGAAGAAGCCCCAACGGTTAGATTTGTCTTACCTGGTTGAATTTTATGCTACTGAAATTACAACAAACAGATTCTATCTTCCTATTGCCATAGCCTGTTCCCCAGCACTTACACAGAACACAGGCAGAAGCTCTGGGCTAAAGAGTTCAGAGAGGACATCCCTGAGGCAAGACACAAGATCTTGAGCAAAACAATCACATGGGAGGCAAGCAAAACACCACGGCAGAACTGATCTTTAACTTTCCTATTTCAAACTGTCGTTGATGAGATGGGAAAGCTCCACAGAGGCTTGCAGTAGCCAGTGATGGATATGCTTAGACCTTCCAAATATCTCTGGCGAGAGGCTAAACCATGACACATGAAAGGGATGAAATGGATGCTCTGCTTTGGCGGAAAATGATGTGGGAAAGCCAGTCCAGAATAGGGGAAATTATCATGTTTGGTTTGTTATTCACGCCTCTGCTCTATCATTTGATATTGGTAATATGGGGTTCATCAGTCAACGTAAAACAATTAAAAGTTACTCCTCTAAGCTTAAACTTCTACTGCTCTAGTAATCAATGTAGAGAAATAATCATTCAAATTCCAGGAAGTATCCAGAGTGCAAACATCTATATATAGGCTGTGGACACTGCTTACCTGAGCTTAGGAGAGGACTTTGTGTCTCTCTTCTGCTCTGGCTGTGCTTTCAGGGACAAGTCATCTCTTAATCAGCCGTCTAGTATTAGTCTCAGAGGACCACAGACTGTGAATCAGTAAAAATACAACTTAATGGTCCAATAGGGAAGACTGGCAGTGATGTGAACTACCTCTAGATTGAATAAGGAGACTGTGGACTGGAATTCGGATTGCATGTCTATTGTTTTATGAGGACCAGCAAAACCTAAAACAATAATTCCCCTCCCTTTATGTCTGCTCCTTGTAGTCCTCATATAAAGGCTGATTGTTTCACAAGGTCAGCAATCCTCAGCATGTAATCCTCGCCATGTTAAACAGACAGAGAGGGGAGATGAGCTCTTATGCAGAAGCTCTTCCTTGTGAGGGTGCTGAGGCGCTGGCACAGGGTTCCCAGAGAAGCTGTGGCTGCCCCATCCCTGGCAGTGTTCAAGGCCAGGTTGGAACTGGATGAGCTTGAAGGTCGCTTCCAACTCAAACCAGTCCGGGATTCTACAAACTGCTTACAGGAAATTGAACACTAATACCCCACCCCTGACAACTGCCATCCTGAGCACAACCTCAATTGTGACAGCATTACCGGCTGCTACGCACACCTGGATGGCTATGCTGTATGTTAGGGATATGTTTTTTTATGGTTCTTCTAAGAGAAGAAGGCAAAACTGAGGTGTCTCAAGGGAGTCACACACAAGGAGACACTGAGCACAAGGACGGCCGTGCTCTTTGACCCATGATTTCTTTTCGGTTTCAAGACCCATATCTGCACAAGGATATTTAGGGCTCATGAAGCAGAAGCAGCAGGATGCCCACGGTGCTGGCTTAATGTGGCCTGTAACATCACTTGGCTGTTCTCTGCAGCAGGGTCTAACTTCACAGCAACACGTGCCACTGTTCCACAGCTCCCAATGTGGTTGTCACGGGCAGTGCACATGGGCAACAGCAGCTTTCTTCTGGGCCTCAGAATCCTGATCCTGGCTGCTGGGGCCATGCTGCTTGCCATCAGCCGTCGCCAATGGGATCACTTGTGGCCATGGGGCCCACTTGGTTCCAGCACTGGTGGTGCCAGTCCCCAGAAAGGTGACTGTGCCACAATGATGTTCCCACAGGGTGATGGCCAGGGCAAGCAACAGCGCAGATGGAGGCGGCGATTTCGGGCAGCAGAGCCATGTAAGTCCCCGGCAGGTTCCCCAGGGAAGCCCAGCCCCATGGGGAGCAGGCTGGGTGTACGGTCCCACGTCGGTTCCGTCCCCCTGACACTCAAGAACCCCTCCCTGCCTTGCAGGTAACGCTGTGTCCCCCCTGTGCGGGCCCTGGCGCTGCAGGCCCGGCTGCACCCACTGCATCAAGGCTGCGCAGGAGCTGCAGGAGCTGGTGCTGTCAGCGAGGGCTGGGAGAGGAGCTGCAGCCGCTCTGGATGCTGGCACATGGCAGGTGCTATGGCAGGACCTGGAGGAGCTGGTGGAGCAGGGAGAGCTGAGCTCCTGCGGCTCCCCCAGTTACCCCGAGAGCATCAGTTCCAGCGAGAGCCTCAGTCCCTCCGAGAGCCTGACAGCAACGCTCCTGACTGAAGATGAAGGAGCCCCTATGGAGGTGAGGTCTGTTTGCTCCCTCGACCACACGTGTGCTGGCAGAGTCTCTTCAGCCCTGAAGATGCACGTGGCTCAGAAAGCCCTGGAGATAAGGCTGGGGGCCCTGCCCGTGCCGGTGCAGCAGTCCCAGGAGCAAGCAGCACAGCAGCAGGGCTGCTTCCCTGTCCTGCCCAAGCTCATCCTGCCGGGACAGAGCCAGCCCTGGCTGCGGCACGTTCTGTGCCCCACAGTGCAGGCCAAAGCAAACGCTATTGTGGATACCATTGAAGAGAAGGAAGTGCAGAGGCTATGGGGGGATCCAAACCACACCGAGGAGTCCCTGGCACCGCAGATGCTGTGCCCTCCACTGCTGCTTGGTCCCCTGGACCCAAAGCTGCCAAAGGAGAGCAGAGCTGGGGAGCCCAGGGCCCCAGGCAATGCCAGTGCACTGGGACAGCACAAAGCAGGACAGCAGGAGCCACAGAGGCCCCGTGGATCTGAGGAGAAAACAGCCATCAAGGCACCAGAGGAGGATACACTGAGGAACAGCCTCCTTCACCAGGGTAGGGGCTTGTCACCGTGGGACAAGGAGTGCCTGAGGTCGTTGGGTTTCGGCGCGGCCCCCCCTGCCTGTGTCAGCCTCGATAATGGAGCAGCAGGACCAGAAGCAGGACCAGCTTCCATGCTACTGAAGAAAGATGCTGCCTGTCAGATCAACATCCCCACACAAGACAGGGGCCATGCCCACAATGAGGACAGGAGCTGGTCCTGTGCCACAGCGCCTATCAGCAACGCAAGGCTGCAGCTGAACAAGAAGGTCCACAGCAAGCTCTGGACCCACACAGCAAGAAAATGCATAGAGATAAAACTCCAAATTCTCCCCAAGGCAGTGCAGAGGTCCATGGGCATGTCGCAATGCTCACTGCCCAGACGGAGGAAGGCTGGGGCTGGGCAGCTGCAGCCCCGCAAGAGCTCTGCCATTATGGCAAAAACAAAGCAGCTCAGGCAGAAGGAATGGGTCCTGCAGCAGCAGGTTCAGGCATCCCTCACCTGCACTCTGGTCCCCATGACACCGTGCTCCTGCCTGTATTGTGTCTCCTCCTACGGCCCCGTTCCAGGGACGGAGAGCAGCCAGGCATTCCTGGAGGCCAGGACCCTGCCCAGCACATCCTGCAGCTCTGGGAATGAGATGGCCACAGACACCAAGGATGTGCCAGGGCCACCCTGTGGGATGGTGAAGGACACGCCAGGGCCAGCATCCACCCTTGTGTCCCCAAGCCTTGTCCCAGCCTTTTCTCCTATGGACACCAAGCCGGAGAAAGCACAGGGAGCACACATGTGTTCAGCCCATGAAGGATTCACGGCACGAGCACAAGGAGCCCTACAGAGCCATTGTGGCTGCTGCAGGAAACAAGCTAGACCTGCTGACGGTAGCTTCACAGGTGGGACAGCCCCTCTGGAGAGCACCACGAGCAGCACCAGCAGGGAAGGGAACGCAGCATCCAATTGTTGGGGGAGTGAACCAAGCCTGGACAGGCAGAAATGGTGGTCATCGAGGAGGCAGGGCACTGGCAGCTCCGAGAGCTCCCTAAGCTGTGGGACATGGTCCCAGGGCACCTCCAAGAGCACAGAGAGGCAAAGGAGATGGAGTCCTGATGGCCTCTCACAGGGAAGCCCACCCGAGATGGCTCCAACCTCCAACTCCTGCTGCCCAGAGGGGATCCCCAGCCAGCACAGCTCATCCTCGCAGCAGCACTGCAGTTCCCCTGTCACCGGGAACGTGAGCTCATGCCAACCGTGCCCAGCCCGGGACTCACAGGACACTGCAGCAGCATCGACCAACAATATCCTGCGTGCGGTGCTGGAGAGGATTCGGCAGCGGCGAAGGAGTGTGTCCTCATCCCCGGAGAGCTCTCCCACTGAATGGAGCTGACGTGGTGCGGAGAGGCAGGGCCAGGCTTCCCAGAGCTTCTGTTCTCCGTGAGCCCTCTGTTCTTGTAAATAAAGACATTGATGGTTCTCCAAAGAGCCATGCAAGTGGACTAACCCCTGCTGGAGGGGCAGGGTGTGTTGGGGATGGGAAAGGGAAGGCGGGCTCAGGGGCACAGGGGAAGCTGTGCTGTCCCAGCAGGAGGACCTGGCCAAGAGGAGAAGCCTGGGTAAGGGGGTTGCTGCTCCTAGAGCTCCTGCTCAGCCCTGCCCCGGCCAGCCCCTTCTGCCACCCTGCAGGGCAGGTCCTTTGGCTCAACTTCACTTGTTCTCCAAGCCTTCCCTGAGAGCAGCTCCCTCCAGCCCCACCCCAGGCACCTTTGGGGACCACAGGGCCCTCGGAGTGCCTGCAGCTGCCTCTCAGGGGCAGCTCCACAGTGGTTTGCCCAGACACAAGCTCATTGACCAGACAAGATGATGCCAGTGTCCAGATGCAGGGCTGAGGTCCTCGATGCCTACAGCACGTCTCTTGGGCCAGTTGCTGCAGTAACATTTCTATGCTGTGCCCCGCATCCCAAAGCTGTCCTGCTCCAACGCGCACATCATGGAGCACTTCACCTGTGCGGCTGTGCTCATCACCTCAACCAAGCTCCTCATTTTCATCTACACCTGCATCACAGTTGCCATCCACAAGATCTAAGTCCAAAGGCAGGCAAAAGCCTTCTCCACTTCTGCTTCCCACCTGATTCCTGCTGCCATGTTTTATGGAACAGGCTTCTTCACGTACACACAGTTCACAGTTCTCTATGGAGCACAGTAGTTATTGCTTCATTTATGCTCTGGTGATTC